TTCGACCTGCCCAACTTTGCAGGCAGCCCCTGGTCAGCTCCGGCGCTCCTTTCCTTGCAGCCGTGCGCGCCGACCGGATGCGCGGGGGCCGCAATAAATTCGGCCCGATGTACAAGCGCGACCGGGCGCTGAAGCAGCAGAAGAAGGCGCTGATCCGGGCCAACGGCTTCAAGCTGGAGACGCTGCCGCCTCTGCCGCCGCCCCCGCCGCCGCTTCCGCCGCTGCCCCCGCCGCCGCCGCCGCCCCCCATCGTCTCTCCGGTGCAGGCGGAAGACTACGGCGGGCTGCCTCCCTCCCTGCACGGCCTGGCCCACCACCAACACCCGGCCGGCTTGGCCAAGGCTCTGCCTCCCCCCAGCGCGGCTGCCATGACGCCCATCGACTACGAGCGCAGCCCCTACGGGACGCCCGCCCTGGCCGGGCCCGGCCCGGTGGGTCCCGGGCTCCTCTCGGGCTACCCTTACCCGCCTTTCGCCAGCCGGGCCATCAAGTCCGAGTTCCCGGAGCCTTACGCCGTCCACCCGCACGAGGCCGCCCCGGCGTACCCCTTCCCGGAGCCTTATCCCGGCGCCGGCGGCGGGGGCGGAGGAGCCTCTCCGGCCACGGCGCTGGACGTGCCCGAGGTGATCCTGAAGCTGCTGCAGCTGGAGCCGGACGAGGCGCAGCTGAAAGGCCGCATCCTGAGCTGCCTGCAGCAAGAGCAAGGCGGCAGGGGCCGGCCGGAGAAGCTGACCACCTTCGGACTCCTCTGCAGGATGGCTGACCAGACCCTCTTCGCCATCGTGGAGTGGGCGCGCAGCTGCATCTTCTTCAAAGAGCTGGAGGTGAGACACGCGCGCACGCGCACACTGGGAGGGGGGGGGCGGGGAAGAGGGGTGGGGGTGGGGAAGACCCTCTCCCTCAAAAATAGCTCTGGAGGGAACTCCATCTCTGGCTGGGAAGCCCATCGTCCCCAGTCTCAGTGCCTGGGGATCATGGGGCTTCCTGGGGAGGGCTCTTGGCTGGTGCTGGGAGCTTGAACTGGGACCAT